ACCTTAATGTATAAATACGCACTATCTGTAAGCCTTCAGGATTCCGATTCCAATTCCGTTTCTCCTGCCTACCTCTCTTCTGTATTCGACCCAATAAACGACTCCATCCCACGGTGTTGCGTTCTGATATCTAGGAGATTTGGAAATAGCATTTGGGTCGTATTGGGATGTTTGAATTGGACGCCGCTGGGACTGAATAGCTATACGTAGCAGCGTTACGACACCAGGATACACGAGCAATGTTTCGAAGACACCTATGATCGAATACTAATGGTTAGCATCTATTAAGATAATATACGTATCGTCCTACTCATATTTTACCAATGCAGATATCATCAATAAGGCTAGAACTCGGAACTTACCGTTTCACACGTTAGGGAATCACCATCATATTGCTAATTTTCAATTTCTATAACCGAAACAATTAGTATATTTAAACTTGCAAGCTTCTTGTGCTGATGTTTCGATATTAATTATCCGTGGTAGTGAATTAAGGTGTAATTATTGCGTGTTTCATTCTACGTGACTAATATAGAGATGCAACTTAACAGTGAAAAGATGAATCCAATAAATTATTTTTGAATGTGAATCAACTTTATGGTACAAGTACGTGTACCAAGTTTTGAGTAGCAGTTTTTGTGATGCTTATTGATACTACCTGACTATCTAAACTGATGTAGGTAGTGGGGGTTTCTAGAGTTAATTAATCCTTTCGATCATTTACTGAATAACTCTATCACAATATAATCTCCAGCTGGAAAAGCATCAAGATCTTATCGGCCATTTAAATGTAATGTACTTCAAGTTATCCCTGTGAAATGTGCTCATATTACTGATTATAAGCTAATGTAAAACTTTAAAGGTTTAGATCATCAGTGCATTATTCTCAATGACGCACTTAGCACACAAAGTATGCACAAATGGTAAAAATAACCGACTTGGTCCTTGGATATTTTAGATTACAAGAAATAGGTGTGCTAAAATTATATTCCTTTTTAACTTGTTGGATTCATAGTATAATTTAATTAATACCTCCAATGTAACATTTTATAAATAAGC